GTAATTCATGTGGTCTGTTATATGGTTATATTATTGAAAAGCACTTTTTTTTTATCATATACATATTTTTCAACGAAGCTTTAATAAAGAAGATCGTAAATCATGGCAGATGATCAGAAGTATATTAAAACACTTGCTATTGCCACATTGGGGTTAGGCTGTGCATATATATTAACAAAATATAGAACTAATTTAAAATCCGTGCTACGAAGATTGACAAACCGAAACTCATTGAGGTTTAAATCGATAAAAGTAATTAACACAGAGGCTGAATGCAAATTCGTTGTAGAATTATTGATGAGGTTTGGGGAAAATTTTTTGCTTTATTATTTTTCAATATCATATTATAAATTATTTTTTCAGGCAATGTTGTGAGCTTGGGGTTCTCGGATTTGATTGTGAATGGGTAACAGTAGGAGGAGCTCGTAGGCCTATTGCTCTTTTACAACTGGCATCACATGATGGTTTTTGTGCGTTATTTAGATTATGTCGTTTAAAAAAAATTCCACCAGAATTAAGGGTAATAGTAGAGTTTTATAGCATCATCTCTACAAATGCATGATTTATTTAAAAATTAGTATGTAATCACAGCTTGTACAAATGAAATCTTACTTAAGTGATCAATGTATTTTATATATTGAATCATTTGCAATATTTTATTTATTGAGACGTTAAATATTTTTCATCATATTGGGGTCAATTTAAATAGACTCTTTATAATTGCTGTCAATAATTTTTTACAAATCGTATTTTTATAAGGAAAGCAATATACTTATTGAAAACTTTACTTTTTTTAATCTATTTTTATCATTGTGTGTTACTGTCTTGTAAATGTAAATGACTTTATTTCTTGGTTTATTGTTCATTTCTAATCTTGGTTTATTGTTTTATTTTATATAGGCATTGCTTGAAGATAACAATATTTTAAAAGTTGGAGTGGCTCCTATAGATGATGCCAGATACCTAGCAAATGATTTTTCTATTCAAATGGATGGTACATCAGACTTGAGACATTTAGCAATTGCAGCAAATAAAAAGCCTCAAGGTTAATATTAAAATTATATATTTTGCTGAATCTGAAATTGTGTTTTATGATTTAATATGTTGTAGGCTTAGCTAATATGTCTTCAGATATTCTTGGAGTGACACTTGATAAAAACTGGCGCATCAGATGCTCTGATTGGGAAGCTGAAAATCTAACGAAAGCACAGCAAGAATATGCAGCTGGAGATGCTTTAGTAGCCATAGAACTATTTAAAAAGCTTTCTTCAAACTTACCAAATAGTATGTATATGTGTATATACTTAATTATTATATAATAATTTATTTTATTATATTTGTTTATACTTGTTTACTTGTATGAAGGTTCCTTGTTATTTGCAAAATCAAACTATTCAAGGGCTGCAGATATTTGTAGAAATTTTATAAACATTAAATATAAGCAAAGGTCATCTCAAGCAAAAGTTCAAAGTGGATTTGGTGAGCCTCATAAATCACAAAGGTATCATATTTGAAATTTTATTTTTAAACAAATTCTAATTTGATTCAATTTATATTGCTTATTAGAAATGGCACCATATCCAAACCCTATTATAGAAATTTTTCAACTCGAAAAAAACCTTTGTATCACAACTGTTATTTAGAAGCACCAGATGGAGAATTATTGTGCACTTGTGATAGAAAGAAGGCAGAATGGTAAGTTCAGTTACTTAAATAATATCTATATATTTAAAACTACGTGTAAATGGCATTTTGCCTTGAGGCAAATTGCTAAAACATCCAGATATGTCTAAATAATCAATTTAATGAGATTTATTGATTCAATTTAATTTTTGCATTATTACTAAAAACCAATGAATGCAAGTTTCAATCGATATATTTCAAACAATTCGATCAATGATATCGGTAATGAATTAATTATAGTGCACCAACAATTATAGTGCATTGTATGTTCTGAAAGCGCCGCACATTATTTCAAACTTTGATAAATGTTAGGATGTTAGTTTAGATTAAGACCATGTGAACTCTGGTGCCATTATAAGCTTCAATATAAATGCAAAAAAATCCTTAACTTTTAATTATGAGGAAACGGTTTGGATGAAATTTGCCAAAAAGCGAATTAGTACGAATCTCTATTGATATTTTTCTAATGGTTTTTAAATTATCAAAACTGATTCACGATTTTTTGCAAATAAAAGTGACAGAAAAATGTTGCACTTTTCTAATTCTAAAGTAACGATTTGGCTGATGTTTCCCAAAACTAATCAATGAGTTTTTTTTACGAGGTTTATCGATTGTGTTTTGAATTTTTGAAATCGGTTTAGCCACTTTTGAAAAAAACGGTGAGAAAAAGCCAAATTTTGGCTCACTCCATGAAAACTTCGATTTAATTAGCCACTTTTGAATTAAAACACTAATCGTAGACTCGTAATATAAAATAGTTATATCTTTTAGGTATGTACATAAGCTTTTGGGTGAGATAATATCGGAAGATCCATTTACTGTAAGATTGAAGTTTGAACCATCAGGAAGAGCTGTGGGTGAAGTTGGACAGTATTATACACAAGCTAAAATTAATCAGTGTGTGGTATGCGGTGAACAACATTCATATATTAGAAAAAATGTAGTACCCAGAGAATATAGAAAACTATTTCCAGGTTTGTAGAATTGTTAGTAGATATATAATGGATAAAAAAGCAAAAATTAATTATTGTGAACAAACTTACTTTTGTGGAATTTTGTCCAAGGTCACTTTAGTTCATGATTACAACTTACTTTACATTATAAGGCCACAAAACTGAAGGTCATAATTATTGAAAATGAAACATAACAAAATTTTTAGTAAACCAAAAAGAGTGATTGGTCACAATATTTCTGTCCTCAAAGAGCTTTGTTAGAAAGCCGATAAAGCGAAAACCATGTAGTGGGGAATAAAGATTGATTTCTCAATATGCATGTAAAGAAATTACAAATCTAAAATTAGCTTCTTTTCCTTTATCCATAACAAATACCTGAATTGCTTTTTTTTAATTAAAATTTCATTTATAAGATGCAACAAAAAATTTGAGGAAGTTTGACCATTAACCGCAATATATTTTAGTGAAAGCCAAATTAAAGCTTCAATTACTTTTTTGATACATGCAAATGAACTGGGATTAATAAAATTATTTGTCCGGATGATAGTGGTTATGAAGGAGCATACATCACATGATGTCCTTTTGCTCTGCACTTCTTGTCATCAAAAGAGCAATATTAGTGATCTTAGTATGAGAAGAAAACTAGGTATTATGTGTGGGGCACCATTGGAATCGGAGGAAGGATCACATCGTTTAATACAATCAGCAGATATGAGGTAAATTATTAAATCAGTTAGAATACAAAAGTTTTGTATTTCTATATTGTTAAATAGTATAGAATAAATTTAGAATTCAAATATTTGAAAATAATGATTTTTAATAAATATTCTTTGCATTCACAGACAGTTGAAATCAGCAGCTAGAGCATTACTATATAGTAGTGATATAATTCCAGATTCAAGAAAAGAAATACTAAGACAAATAATTTTACGATCGTATCCAGATTCTGAAATTACTGAACAGCTTTTGAAACAAGCATGCGAAGTTCAAACAACGTAAGTTTGATTAATTTTTTTTCTTGTTGTTTTTCAACTTGAATTTACCCTAATTTGAGTATACATGTGAGCAATAATATACAATTTTTGAATGCTGTTCAAACATGCACCTTGAATAAAAAATCTCAAACTCCAATAATTAAATTAAAAGTTTCATCTAGTAGAACTTTTTTTGTATTAACATTATAATTATTATGTTTAGGTTACCTAATATGTCTTATGAACCTCACGGAAGCAAAGTAGTAGAATATTTTTCAACAAATCCTGATACTGGTGGATTAGTAGGATTAGAACGAATGTGGAGAGAACATTTTCTACAAGTCATGAAACCAGAATTTTTGCCCCCACTTTGGAGTGTTACACATAATGCGAACAGGTGAATTAAGTAAAATAATTATTTAGTAAATTCAATTAATAAGCATTTGGTACATGTTAATTGAATATTTCACAATTTATGAATTATTTCAAAGTAGTTACATATAAAAATATGATTTCACATGTGTAGTGCATGATTAAATAAATAGATTTGCATGCATAATTGCATAAAAATATGTATGCATATATTATAAAAATATATATATATATATATAAATTATTCAGACTAAAAATACGTGCAGAAGAAGGCCGTGTGGAAGCATCTGATTTAGTACTGGCTGGAATTGACCATCAAAGAAATGCAGACTTAATCGAATGATTTTTTTTTTATATGTTTAAATATGCAGTAGTTTGTTTACTACATTTATGATAGAATATTATTAAAATATAATTTTGACAAATTAAATATATTTTCATATTTGAAAAAAAATATTTTGAAATATTATTCAGATCATCAAATAAGGCCACTCATATCACAGATTTTTTTATACTCATGAAAGTAAATATACTGAGAATAATCTATTACTGTTGAAGCTAGCATATTATGGTTACGAGAAACAGCTTTTCTTAAGTAAAAAATTAAGGAGATTGATATCAGAAACTAGATATGAAATTTTAAGTTCAAATTTATTCCTGGTTATCCAAAATTTACGCTAAGCCGAGTTAGATAGAATGGATAGAATATACATCAATATATTATTATACAATATATTATTATATTGTCTAGGATATACATCTTATTTATTATACTCTTCTTTTACCTATGCATGCAATTATTTTTCGATTATATGTGCCGCCATCTAGTTTTGCCACAGCCATAGTAGATAATAGTATACTAGATAAATAAGCATATAGAGTGTATACAGCTTTATTAATAATAGTTTTTAACCGTAAATTGCAGGCAATTCCATATTTTCTTTAATATTATCAAAAGCTCATTTCAAATTATAGGCTGATCGCGGTATTTTACCTCGTACTCAGAAATACAGTTTCGCACCGGTTTAGTTGAAGTTTGGCGCTCTTGCGCACAGTAAAGTAGATCATCACTTTTACTCTCTCTATCTGTCTCAAGTATGACTTCATTTTAAATAAAAATGGCGACCATGTTACATCGTGGTGTGAATTTTGCGGAAAGTTTAGTACGAAAAAATGGAATTAAGGTAATTTAGTTAATTATTTTATGAAACGAAAATAATACTATATAGTATTATTTATGTGTTATAAATAATTTTGAAGTGATTTATTGTGTGAATTGTATAGTGTTGAGACGAGAAATTTGAGGGTCAGCTGTTTAGTGAACTATTTTAACTTAATGCTATGTTCTAAAAATGTACAGTTTATTACGTGAGTTATATAATATAATTCGAAACGAATTACTAGATTTGAAATTATCGTCTGATGTAAGGGATGCGTGTGATGTCTATTAATAAATACATTACATAAATATCTTCTTTATCGAGTTCAAAATTTTACCGCATGAACTGTCAGTTTGACATTTGTGACAGCCTGTATTATAATTCAATTAGAACGTGTTAATAACGATAGGTTATAATAATTGTAAATGTCATCATTCTATTTAGCTACAACAATACAATTCTTAAGGCAAATATAAAAACTTGATTCTGTGCTAGCTTTTCAAGTTGATAGATATAATATGCAAATTATAATATTAATTTATTATGGAAATTTTAAATGCATATCAGATTACGTATCAAGTTCCAGACACGTTAATTTCATTATGGAGATTATCAGACCAAAATAGTTTATGCCAATATATAACAATACAATTGTTATTTTATTAATGATTTCTTAAATGTAAAATAACATTAAATTTTTAAACATTTGTTGGCTATTATAGATTTACTATTTTTCCCTAAACAACTTAAAAACATTATCAAAGTAACGTACAAAACCGCACAGTCATTATGTATATCTATCGAAGTTGTTAAAAACTAAATTAAATGTTATTCTCAAACATCAATGAACGAAAAGTGATTAACAAGCTTCTAGTGATAGGTATATTTAAAAAAAAATCATAAAAGTTTCTAATATATATTTTAATGTGTTTAATTGAACATATAAATCTTAAATCTAGCTTTGTCTTTTTTTTTGTTTCTAATTGCAATATAATTGTGTTTCTATTCTGCGTACATTACATACATTATTACAATTTTAATAAAATAATATTATAAATAATATTTATAATATTCAATTTCAATATTAACTCTTGGTGTGGACTTTTTTTTGTTAAATATATTGTATACAATTTCAAATAAACAAATAAGTCTGGAAATTATCTTATCTCAATTGATTATTATTAGGAGACGCACACATTAAGTTGTACTTTGATCTTGCTTATTGTTATGTATGTAACTATATATGTATATGTATATATAATATATGTATATATATATATATATATATATATATATATATATATAAATAGTCAATTATTATATATATACTAGGTGGCCCGACAGACATTGTCCTGTATCGTTATTAGCTTCAAATTTTTTAATATCTTACCCTATACTTTTTAATATCTCTTTGATGTCTTGCTTTTGGGATTTATTAATGGTCTTAGCCTAAGCAGTATAAGAAATTCAGAAAAAAATATTATAGTATCTGCGGTAAAAGAACAATATCACACTTGATTTTACCACCATAATTGTTTCAATATTTTAGTCTGATTGTCATAATCATATAAATATATTAATTGCTGGTTGTGTTTTTTAAATACAGAGTCCGATTTCAAAAGACAAATTCGACCTTGGAGGGATAGGTTACTCTGTGTTCTCAAAGCTAAATTATTTAAAAAGCTTTTACTGACAGTATAACGTGCCTTTATAAACCGTACATTTTCGTACTATAAATGCATGTCTTATTATATTTGCTTCAGAAATATTTCCGTACCCACTGATGATGACATAGAGTACTTTGCCAAAATGCCTGAAAAAATTAAGATGCTTTAAAATCTGTACTATTTCTTTTTTATTTGTTGTTATGCTCTCCAATTTTGTGTTCTACAATATATATATATATATATATATATATATATATATATATATATATATATATATATATAATCCATTTATGAGCATATTTTAAATATAAAGTGTTTCGTCTAAAATGTAAACAATGACTCAGGCACAAAAATAAGATATTTCATAAATTATTTTTTCTAGTCGCGTGACCTTTGAGTGTTCAATAACAGATAAATTCTATTTCCTGACCCAAAAATATATTTGTTTAATAACAACTGTTCGTGCCTTCTTATCATATTTTTTTTTTATAAAAGAAGGCAATTTTGATTACGTTATTATTTTTGTGATTTTTAAATTGAGATATACGGCTTTCTGTTAAATTTTGTAGAACATGAGAAAAATGCGTGTTTTCATTCATTTTCAGTCATTAAACGCTAATTCGAACTATTTCCGTCTATAAGTTTAGACGTATACAATAACTTTCAAAATCAGAAATTAATATTAGTGTGGGATTTATGTTAATTAGCTACGCAAATACGGGTTAGAAATTCCATTATACATTATAACATATGCATACATATACATATCGATTTAGATAAATAATTATATTGTTTCATTTCAAGTACCTATGCGTTCAGTGAGCATCAACTTCGAAAAATTAAATACACGTTGACATATTTAAAATTAATAATGGACAAGCAAATATTTAAATAATGAAATATATTTATTTGCAATTTATTAGATTCAATATGAACTTCTTCTTCCTAACTTGTACATATTTTGTTATTTACTCAAAAACAACTGTAGTTATTACATCACTCTTTTATTCGAATAATAATCCTTAAACTTAACCCTTTGAGTGCTAAAGTTTAAACAGTTTCAATATTTAATTATATGAAAATTGACAAAAAATCTATATCCATAACGAATATGCATAGGTGCATGTAAATATATTTGATCATATATGATAAGATTTTGAAATGTAGATTTCGAAAAAATATTGTTTCTTTTTATTTGTGAATTTAATATCTCCATAAACGGTTTGGGAATAAAAATTCTAGTAATTTATTATATATTACACGAAGTATAATTGTTATTAAAATAATTAGTGCAAAGATATTAGTTCAAACATAATTACCCGAGCATACAGATCATTTTCCTTTGTTTATTCCCTACAAATTTAATTTACCTTAGGAGATTGCAATGTAATATAATTATAAAAAAATGTATGATAAATATATGCATGAATATATTAAAATAAATTTAGTTTAAAACGAACAAAATAATAGCATTTGTTTTTTTTTTTGAAAAAGTATTGAATCTACCAATATTAATTTTAATGTAACATTAAATTGAATGAGTAATCTATTAATATCATTAATAATAATATTTATAATTTTTCTTTTATTATAAATTATCGCCGCCAGTCTCTAGATATCTTAAAATACCTTATTTTTGAATCAGTTAACTGTGGCGTACTCATTGTACTTTGCGCACAGTTTTGTCATCAGCCTGATAATACATTTATTCCTTATAATACTTGTATTATACAGTAAAATTATATTTTGAGGTAGAATGCCACTTAAAAATATGTATTTTTGTTCTGACATATTTTCACAATATTCTAAACGTCTTTAATATTTGAGTTTTTTTTGAATCGTTTAAATTTTAATAGCAAATTGTCACTGTGTTATACGCATGACGAATAAACTTGTCATGCTGCCATTTCTTTATTGCCAGTATATTCATCAATCACAATTAACCCGTTGAGGCCGCTGACGGTCCCTAAGGACCATCAACTTTCCGTTTGTTTGGCATCGTTCTCTGGAGACCGACAGTTAACTTACCATATGACTGCCGTCGGACCTGAGAACCGGCACCAGAATTTCTTTTTGGAAAATCTGTGTGATCGACAGTATTAAGAAATAAAATTATTCCTAATTAATTTCGGTTCCATATAATTTTAATAAAATATTGAATGAAAGATTTTGAGCGAGTTTCCATACAGAATTGGCCCCACCCTGGTATTTAAATAATTTTGATGCCGTTCTAAAACCTTAAAATTTTATATTTATTTTAAAATGCAATGCAATTTAGGAAAAATTATATGAAATATTAATCACGTAATATATTTGTGCATTTTAAAATAAATAATAAATTTTAAGATATAAAATTGAAATTGAAATAATTTATTACACACATACAAATATATAGAACAATATATAAATAAATAAATATTTTTATTATATGCTTACAAAAATATAAAAATATTTAAAATATAAATGTAAAACTTTACTAAGCGTTTTACATAGAATTGTTCAATATATAGATTTTGTTACAAAACGCGCGCTGCGAACACTCGAGCAGTGATCTAACTGCTCTGCTCGCCTTTGCAATTGAGAGAAAACTTACGCGGCTATTCTATGAGCGCTAGCGTGTACTTGCTCAAGTTTTTTCAAGTTTTGAATGTGTTCTACCACATGGACTAAAACTAAATTTTGCACAGCATAAGAAAAAAGAATAGCCATTCTAACGATACTAATTAAAAATTAGTCCAAACAACCCCTCACTACCCAAAAATTTGTAACAAAAAATTGTTTTGACTTTTTCATAAACTAACAAATGATTATTTAACAATATTTGTTATTAACAATATAGTCCACACCTATGTGAATATAATCCCGTTATTTGTTTGTCGATATCTTTTACAGTTGCGACAAAAAACGACTTTGAAAAAAGGGGCCACTTTCGGATATTTTCAATGATATCTCGGCCAAATGATGAGCTACGGATTTGAGATTTGGTATTTCGGATTTTTTCGAAAAAAGCTATAAAATGGCATCAAAAGCATTTAAATACCAGGGTGGGGCCAATTCTAAATAAAAATGTGGTACGTGCTAAACATTGCCGACCGTTCATCATTGCCGGCTGAACGAAAAAATGAGCAAATTCGGCGCCGGGGCTCAACGTGTTTACTGGTTAAAATTTATAGGGTATTTATAGCAGAAAAACTTTGTTCACTTTCGAATACAATGTTTGGAACTGTTAAAATTTATATACCTTTTTACTTTTATACAAAAAAATTTCAGATTTTATCCGTAGCACCATGGCAAAACACCCAAACACGAAAGCTCAATGTCTTGGAGCATATATCCTTCAGCATTTTGCAGGAAGGTGGCATACCGACACCTCCGTAAGTAAATTCATAGGCATAAATATCAATAATAGTTACACATTTGATTTAAAAGTTGTTTTATCACAGATTTGGTGTGGCAAAATCATCAGCTGAAGCAGCTAAAATAGCTACGGATTTGAAAACAAATGACATTGTACTCAAAGCACAAGTTTTGGCTGGTGGTAGAGGGAAAGGCCAATTCAAATCGGGCTTGAAAGGCGGCGTTCGAATGGTTACAACGTAAGTTTGAGTCTCTCGCTTTGTATTAATATAATATTTAATAATGCTTGTTTTTTACTTTTTTATACGCTTTTTACAATGTAAATCGAGGCTATCAATAGTTTGAACATTTAAAATTATATACTTAGTTGATGAATTAAAGCTGCCTACAGACTTGTTGAAGACTAAGAACTGAATGAAGTTAATTTCATTTATTTATAACAATCAGAGTCAAATTGTATTCTATGTTTCAATGATAAAGCGGATATGACTTATTCTAGGACATAACTTTGGGAGATGAGTTAAATCTTCGGAGTATTTCAAGAAGAAGTAGTAAAAGTCTCATTGTCATGTCAAAGTCTCATTTCTCTGATGATGATTTCACTTACACTCACCTACGCCTAGTATTTGAAAAACTACAAGAACATTCACTGTCCATCAATACTGAAAAATGCAGGCTAGGTCAGACTGAAGTGGACTTCCTTGGATACAGAATACATACCAAGGGCTACACACCATGCACAGACAGAATAAAGAAAATTTTAGAGTATCCAAAGCCAACAACTGTGGTAGAACTTCGACGATTCATTGGCATGGCCAATTATTACAAGAAGTCAATACCAGGATCAGCAAAGATTCAGATACCGCTCAATGCCTATTTGACAAAATCTAAGAAAAATGACAAAACACCCGTACTGTGGAACCCGGAAGCTGAACATGCCTTTGAAGAACTCAAGAAAAGTCTATCAAACAGTACTTTACTGCATTATCCTGCTGCATCAGCCAACCTTTGCCTCACCACGGATGCATCCACCATAGCCATCGGAGCCGTCCTGGAGCAGGAGGAAAATGGAACCTGGTGCCCCATTGGATTTCACTCTAGAAAACTCAGCACAACTGAACAAAGATATTCCACCTATGACCGTGAACTTCTTGCCATATTTGCTGCAATAAAATTCTTCGAGCATCTATTGGAAGGTAGGCATTTTACAATCAGAACTGATCACAAACCGATCACCTATGCCTTCCAACAAAGACTGGATAAAGCTTCAGACAGGCAGAGACGACAACTGGAGTATATTTCACAATTTTCCACAGACATAGTTTATGTGAAAGGTGATCAAAATATAGTTGCTGACACCCTTTCCAGAGTTAATACAGTTCAAATGCCTACCAAACTCACTGCAGAAGAAATAGCAAAATATCAAGAAACAGACACCGAACTACCAACTTTACTGGCCGGAAATACATCTCTACAACTAAAAAAAGTCACCATTGATTCACATGCAGTATATTGTCATATTGATACTAAATTTGTCAAACCATATCTTCCACAGAATCTACGTAAGCTGGCTTTCAATGTGATCCATGGATTATCACACCCAAGTATCAGAACAACATCAAAGGAAGTACGAAGAAGATATGTTTGGCCTGGTATTGCAAGAGATATCAACAATTGGACTCGACAATGTACTGCATGCCAAAAGTCAAAAGTTCACAGGCACAATCATCTATTACCAGAACATATACCAATTCCAGAACAAAGATTTAGCCATTTACACACAGATATTATAATGTTACCAAACCACAATGGATACCAGTATTGTTTAACTATCATTGACAGGTTTACTAGGTGGCCGGAGGCCATACCTCTCAAAGACATATCAGCTGACACCGTGGTACAAGCATTATTCACTCACTGGATATCCAGATTTGGATCACCTGCTACAATTACCTCCGACCAGGGCACGCAGTTTGAAGCAGCACTATTCAAGTCTCTAGCTCAGACAATAGGGGCAAAGAAAATACGCACTACAGCTTTCCACCCACAGTCAAATGGTCTTGTTGAACGATGGCACAGAACATTAAAAGCAGCATTAATGTGTTCACCAGAACCCTGGACTACGGTGCTACCATTTGTACTTCTGGGCCTTCGTAACTCACTCAAAGAGGACATCCAAGCATCTCCAGCCGAAATGGTTTATGGAACGCCACTAAGACTCCCAGGAGATTTCTTCATCACACCGGACCTGGATCAAAACCCACAAATCTTTATTGACAAACACAGAAAAGTCATGAACGCACTCAAACCTACTCCTACGGCGCATCATAACAAGTCAAAGATGTTCATTCTAAAGGATTTAGATACTTGTACACATGTCTTCATAAGATCAGATCACGTTCGGAAACCATTGGAGCCTCCATACAGCGGTCCACACAAAATTCTTGAACGGATAACAGACAAAATCTACAAGATCCTCGTAAATGGCATTGAAAAAAACATCTCCGTAGACAGATTAAAACCGGCATACATTACCAAGACCGACGATGAATTTCAAGAAAAATACACCCCAAATTGAGCAACACCACTGGGGATCATTCATGGATCCTCCGAAGAAAACTTACTCGAAAAGAGTAACATTCAAAACATAATTTTTTTTCTATATTACAGATTTTTTCTTCAGGCTCTCCTGTCAGATTACTACACGCAATCTCATTCAGGGGGGAATACTATAGCGGTCGCATGACGCGCATGACACATGACACTTGAGCAACATACGTTCTAAGTGGCGCAACACACAGGCAACGCAACATGAAGTACGCAACTAACGGTTGCAAGTCTGCAATCCCACTATAATATCAAATCTTGCAACCCCTTGCAAGAAGGGATGAAATTGAGCTACCCAAAAATCTCTCTCTTCCTCCCGCCTTCGCCGAGTGCACATAACCAAGAAGAATTATTATTTTATTATAAATTAAATATTTTGTATTTCAAACTAGAATAAATCAGTGTATTTTCAAGTGTTATTACTTTTTGATCATAGACAATTATATATTTTTATTTAGACGCCCAACGTCTAAAAGTATTTATGAGGAGGCATTAAATCAAGCTAAGACTTTGCATAATTCAGCCAGCATGAAGTTGCCGGCGAAGACTGATATCAAGCTGTCAAGCATTTCAGATGTCAAGAGCGCGTCGGCCATTTTGTTCATTTTTATATCAGCGTTGTGTCGGCGTATTGTTTTTTATTAAGTAGGCTTGTTTCATATTTAATATTTTTTAGCTTTTCGTTATGATTCATTCTTTTTGTGTGTTTATTTTTTTATGTCCGTTCAAGTTTATTCGCTTTGGCTTTTTGATTACGCGCATATTTAGTTCTTATTATAATTTTTACATTTTAGGGTTATATTTTAGGATTCTTTTCATTCAAAGATCATTTTAGTCTAGCTTAGATTTTATACAATGTTTTAGTTATAATTTTGTTTTAAAAAATAATTTAGGCTTACGTTTTACGCATAGGGTTACATTTTATTCATTATTTTTGTTAGGGTTACGTTGTATACATTATTAGGTTTGGTTTCGATCTTAACCTTAATTCAGTGGAAGCTAACTAAAACTCAACAAACAACAAATAGAAGGTTCAGTAATGAAATAAAATTGAAACGACATATTTTCTTTTTTGAATTATTAACGGTTTTTTTTAATGCTCAATAACTACTATATAAAAACTTAATATATGAATATAAAACTCAGTTAGAAGAATGTATACAATTTATTAATTATACAGAAAATACACATGTTTATACATAAGTTATTTGACATATAAACAATATCACAAAAACCATAATACATGAAAAAAAAAAGTAACAAATAATTCAATAAGCATAAAATCACAATATCACAAAAACCTTAATACATAAAATAAAAAAGAAGCAAATAATTCAATAAACTTAAAAGTTTCTATATACAGTTTACCATCGAAATACACATAACATTATTTCACTGTAAAATATAATGACCATGTGGCATCATCACATTCAAGTTGAATTTGGCTTTTTCTGTTTATTACGGACTCTTTTAAGAACACGATTCTTCCTACATTTTATTAGAGCCTTTCGTTTTACTCGATCATTAATATTGCAATGAATATATTTGCCAGTTAGGTGCCTACCTACAGACTTACACCAAAACCTTATAAAAAAAGTAAGAAAGGAATTGCAAAAATATTTTTTCAAATCATGAACTAAACAGGTGAATTTGAAATCATAAAAAACATACTTGTAAAGCATATTTCGAAGTTTGACTTTGAGACTGTTTTCGATACAAACATCTTGCATAAAAAATCGACTACGTTGCTGCATTTACAGAACAAATCATAAATTCCTTCCCTGGTACGAGAAGAGATTTTCTAGTGTAATCTCTTGATTAATGTAAGACGCCTTATCATCATTGATGGGTTCTGATAAGATGTCAGATGTACATGTCGAGCATTTTTTAACTAACTTCATTAATTTTTTGGCATAAAAACCAGCAACATATGCGTTTGCTGTTCCTCGTACGCATTCAAATCTCCGAAAGGAAAAAAATCAGGAATAATTGTTTCCTGATTAAGAGCTGCAATATCTTCTGGGTCTTTATCATCAATTAAAAATGTTTTAAAGGGGCCGAGTATGCCAGTATTATCATCATCTTCACAATTTGCAGATGGTGAATGATATGATGACAAATTATTAATTATTAAGGTTTTGAAGGCTGCAATAAAATTAAAGCAATTCAAATTAGTGTTACAACCGCCCTGGCTTCTGACACTACTAAAAAAATTTTCCAGGGGATCCTGGTTGAAATATCTTAAACATAAATGATCAAACCCTGCCTATTTAATTTTGACCAAATATATCGTAAACGCTTAAGAGTATCTATCCAATTTTTGACGCATGGTGGTTTTGTTTCTGATGTAGCAGACCCCTTCTTTCTAACAAAATACAAAGAATTCAATACTTGCTCCGCATCTATCCAAAATTTTAAATGTTCTGATTCATTTGTTATAGCGCATCGGAGATAGTTACCCGTTTTTGGACTTATTGATACTCCGTTAACGCTGTCAAACAAGCAGTCCATAAACTTCAAAAATTCACTAGTGCCATAGGTAGTTGCCAAAGCATCTACCCTGGTAAAATATGAATTTTGAAGTCCAATCGCTACACGCTTTGAGAACACTTGTGCCGCTAATGATACCTTCATGACTTTCCAACATTTTTGATAAATATGTTGAGCGGTTAAAGTGGGACAACATCGATATATGCTTAACTTAGAGTCATATTCATAAAAACTCAGAATATCACTCCAAGCAGCTTCGAGTTGTACCCCCTTTGTGCTGGTAAATTTAACATTACATTTTGCAAAGTTATTCCTCATACACTTCAACATATGAGGAGGATCAAACAAAGGAACTATTGCATGCCCGTTTATTTCGAATTCTAATCTATTATCATCATTATTTCTACCATAACGTTTATTAGTTTCATTTATAAGCATGCTAACAGCTTTGCGATTTGCAGGGTATTGATCGCAAACTGTTGCCACAATGTTTAAATTAATACTAAGTAACTTTTTTA